AGAAGAAGAAGAAGAAGAAGAAGAAGAAGAAGAAGAAGAAGAAGAAGAAGAAGAAGAAGAAGAAGAAGAAGAAGAAGAAGAAGAAGAAGAAGAAGCTCTTTTGCATCTTTATGCACATAGGAATTCAGGACAGCCGAAGAGTCAAAATAGAAGGAGTCTAAGGAGAAAAGAGCCACGGCCCTTAACTAGAGAGCACAATGTGACCTGACCAAGTGTGAGGTTTCTACCCTGTATATCCACAACCCATGTTCCTTTCAACGAGCTCTTCTAGGATCACAAGAGTGGGTGATGAAGGTCACAGGAGTGGGTGGCAAAGGCAGTTCCTTGAGAACAAGAGTATTTGTTTCTAGAAGCAGATTGGTTTGCTAACTGGATATGTATCTCCTAAGATAAAAGAAGGAAGAAAAGAGGTTTTCTTTACCAGCGAGCCCCTAACCCTTGTCCTTGGCCCAGGTTCCCACCTCCTTTGGCCGGTGTTTTCTTGCTCTAAAACCAAGAACAGCAAAGCTGGCAGAGAGCAGATCTTCACTGGCTGAGAAAGGCTAGTAGCAGGGGTTAAATCTGCCATTGTAGAATGGAGGATTAGAGCATACAATCCAAGAAGCACTTCATCTCAGCACAGAGCTTCTGGTGATGCCAAGTGTGGAAGGCAGTAGCTGTGTGGACAGCTGATATCTTGGGTATCTGTATTAACATTGGAAACAGCATTTGAGAACCATCAGCTAAAACGCCACTGTACTAATTGGCTTTAGCTGAGATTAGTAGAGGAGTGAGATTATTTGACGGACCTTGTTTTTCTATAATACATTATTTCAATCTTTTAATGAGTCTGATATTGTTGAGAATAATTTTAGTTTTCCTTCTTGTGAATTGTTGTCCTGATTCATACTCAAATGATGAAGGCACAGCTAAAGAGAATTTCCTTATGTGAGGATCATAGTTTGATGCCAGCCCTGGCAGGAAAGTCTTAAATCCAATTAATCACCAGAAAGCCAGACATGGAGGTAGAGCACTAGCTTTGAGTCAAAAAGCTCAAGAACAATACCTAGACCCTAAGTTCAAGCTCCAGAACCAGAACACACACACACACACACACACACACACACACACACACACACACTCACACACACACAAAATTAACTTGAAATATATCATAGACCTAAATAAAATAGCTAAATCTAGAAAATTTGCAAGGAATATCTAGCAAACCTTTGTGATCTTGTGTTACAATTACTTTGTAGAGAGAATCCAAAAATCAGAACCATACAAAAATTGATAAATTCAACCTCAGTGAAACTATAACTTTAACTGTATGTGTGTGTGTGTGTGTGTGTGTGTGTGTGTGTGTGTGTGTGTGTGTGTGATACTGGAGATTATGGCTTTAAGTCTGTTAAGCAAGTAAAATATATGGTATATAAATTTTGTCTCAATAAAGCTGCTAAAAAAAAAGACTCAAAGCCTGTGCAAAAAGAAATAGCTAAAATTTCAGCGTAATTCCAAGGGATTATTTTGTATAACGTTAGAAATTATAGGGTACTGAACAAATCTATAGATGAAACTATAATCTCATCTATATTATTTTGTCTTGTTATCACCAAAATGTTTATAATTTGCTAGAGGATATCCTTAAAGATAACTCCCTAAAACGAACCAATTAACATTTACTATTAGTGCAGATATCAACTACTCTCATTATTAAGTAACTACAATTTCTTAAGTAAATATAAAATTTCTTTTTAAACATAAAATTAAGTTATCACAATGGCCACTGATTTTTGTAGTCATGTATAAAGGCAAGCATATATGTGCATTTAAACTTGAATGATAGAGTTTGAATCTATAAATATATCTAAAATCTTTGCCTATATTTAAAAGAGAATGTTCAGATATTTACAATAAATCTAAGTGGTTTGCCTTTTTTAGGTGCTGATTGGAAATGATGGCACCTAATCAGTAACTCTGCCCAAATGTAGGCAGTCTAGAAACTCTGCTAAAGTGGGTATTTGGCTCTTCAGCTATTTCTCTAAACTTGAAGAATAAACTAATCCTAATTCCAAGCATACTATGGAAAGAATTTAGTCAGAAAGTGGAAGTTTGAACCCAGGGTTAGCTATTTTAATTTCTTTACATGTTAGTTTTAAACTTCCTGTGTGAAAAAAATCAGTTAATAATAAAATATCAGAACCGCATAAATCAGCATTTGTTCTTTAAGTGTTTAGGCTGGGGAGATGAGACATTTACACTACTGTCTCACTCTCATAAGGAAATTAATAAAGGCCAAAAGAAATCATGAGAACAGATGATACTTCCCGTGCCAAGGCTGTAATATATTCCTGAATACCTTAATTGTTCCAACCACACTATGGGAGAGATAGTAAAGTCATAGGAAGGTGATTAGGGTCCAGAGCCTGCTTTTGAGTCCATTCAGCTGTATGATGACACACATGTTAACCTCTCTGATTTTCCATTTACTGCAAATCATAACAATTCTATTACTTTCTTCATTGAAAATTAATTATGGAATAGATGAAGAGAATTCAACATAGACTCTAGCATATAGTAGGTATTCCACTGAGGTTAATGGTTATTAAACTACAGAAGAGTGTGTCCCCAGTTAGAAGATCAGGGTCTGTTGAGAGGTTATATAATTTGCACAAGCTCACATAATCAGTTGCAGAGATAAGGCTCAGCCCTGTTGATCTCTTGTGAAAAGCTTCCATTTCCCTCATCATTTGAGGTGTTTGAAAATATATTTAGAGGAATAACTGCTTGGTAAATTTGAGAGATGTTTAATGTGTGAGTCACCGAAATCCAACTTATTGCTTGCCATTTATATTCCAGACCATCAAATTAAGTCTATCACATCCTTTAGAGTATAGATACAGCCAAATTAGACCCCAATCTCCAGCTGCTTGTTGGTGGAGAGAAAAATCTTCCACCAGAGAACAGAGCTCAGCTCAGGTGGGCAAGCTGGGCCCCTGTGAGACAGTTAGACTGCATTGCTCATTTGTGAGATGGAAATTCTGGTTGTTCACATGATTCCAAGCATTGGAGCCAAGTGTAAAAGCTGAGCTCATGGTGTCTGATTTGTTGGTGTGCTTTAAGTCACTTTGCAGAATTCCTCTCTAATGATGGCGGAGAAGTCACAAGGATCTGACAACCCTCAAGAAAGCCAGGAAAAGAGCAAGAGAGAGATCCTGAGGCACACCAAGACAGCATGGATGCCTCTGGATGGACAGTCGGCTCTTGGCTCTGAGGAGGAGAGCCAGATGGTCAGCGTCCCCCTGCTAGGTGAGAAGGGACAGTGGAGCTTTTTGAAAAATGTCCTACTGTGCGTGGGGAGTATGCAAGGTTTTAGCTAGGGTGGAGTTTTTGCAACAAGGATTTGAGTTGGAAAATATCAGTGCTCCTGGCACGATGTTAGACATTCTATGAAAGGTCACTTACCATTCCCACAGACACACAACCCAGAACTTCCACCATAGAGACAAGAAGGTATGGGTTCTGGTCTTTTCCAAGGTCCTCAGGACCTTAAAGCTGCATAAGCCTTCTTCTAGAATATCATTTTATTGAGAGATGCTTTTGGTCTGGCATGGAACAGAGAACATCTTTTTTGTAATTAAAGAATTGTAAGTAAGAAAGGACTTATTCTCCCCACCACTCAACACAATTAGATGGCTTTCCCTTGTAGACTCTACTCCAATTGATTTCACCCTTTCCTTGTACCTTGACTGGAGAATCACCAGTGTCTCCCAGGGCCTCTGGCTGTGCTGGTTCACCTGGCAGTGTGTGGGGGCTAACCCCATTGCTTCATAAAGCTAATGTCCCCCCAGCTGGATGGGAGCCATCAGAACAAACATGTCCCAGGAAATACTGCTTTTATCCTTCCTGTCCTGATGACAATTTGCTCAACCAGTACGAGAGATCCACCTTAAAAGACTGGAGCCTTGCTAACACAGAATGCCCTTGGCAATGGGGGACTGCAGTGTGATTTGTCCCTGGAATGAATGCAAATGTGGTTTCTAACCTGGCAGAGAACTCCTTGCAAATAAACAACCCTGGCTGGCTGCCTTAGGTAAATGTCGGGATTCAATAAGGAGAGACTCTGGGGTGATTTACATCCAACAAGAGAAAGATAAAACTCTCATATGCTTTTCTACCCTTTGTATTCACACCAGGTAATTTACAATTATCCTGTATCTCTCACTCTTCACTGATTTGCTTCCAATCTCTTTATCATTTCTCTCTCTCTCTCTCTCTCTCTCCCTCTCTTCTTCCAAAGTTGCACTCTTTTGGCAAGTTTGCACTCTGTTCCCAGGAAAGGCTGATTGTGGAAAGCAGGAGGCTGTGCCATCAGGCAGAAGATGAATTCGCTTATAGAAACATGTGACTGACTGTAGTAGCTAAGAGGGTGACAGAGTGGTGGTGTGGAGGCTCGTGGCTGCCCGGGCTTTGACTAACAGGTCTGTCTCTTCTTCATTTGCAGAAGATTTCAAACAGGAGAACATCCAGCAGTGGCTGGACTCTGGATTCTTGTAAGTGTTTCCCTGTTCCTTGCCTATTTCTCTTACAAAGATCCACGGAAACCATGGCAAATAGGATGCCTGGAGGTTTTCACAATAATTGGAAACTTAATTTACCTTATTATTGCAAAACCTAGATAGACATCTAATAGTACAAAATAGACTACTGATTCATCCTTGGCTATTTGTTGATTCCCAGAAGTCCTCTCTTAATAAAAATCTAACTCTGTATGCACTCATGAGTTGTTTAAAAAAAACAAATGAGTATAATTTATTTACACACATTGTGTGACTCGCAATCCTTTTGTTTCTCTTCTAGTGTCTCTGTAAATGAACATATCCAGCAAGTCATCGACCCCACTGGTAAGACCAGACAGCCCAGAGGAGCTCTGCTTTGTGGAGCTGAGTAGATTTATGTGTGCTGAGTAGGTTTATGTGTGATGAGTACAGTGACTGTCTGCCTTAGAACCAGTCTTCTTCAAGGAAGGGTTAGTAGAGGCTCCCGGAAGTGGGTCCAACTTCACTTCTTTCATTTGTAAGCTTGGAACTCAGGGGTTTCCCCTAGAAATAGGTTTGGGCCAAAGCCAAGGGTCTTCCTACTACTCAATATTCTCAACATGTAGCAGAAACTCCCTGGGTTCTGTGAAAGCATTTGCAAAGATATAATTATGGAAATGAAATGATTTAGCTTCCCATATACAATGTTGTACTTGAATACAGTTTCTAAATCTAGTTTCTCTCTAGCGTTCAGTCTCAGAATTGCACTTGTCTTCTGTCTAATGATATATTTGTTCTAATGATATATTTGAACAAATGACTGAATCCTAAGGCAAACAGTACAAGCCTTTCTGGGGAGAAAAATGTATCTCAGCTGTCTCACTGAAATTTGGTAAGAATAGCATAGAACAGAAAAGAAATTTAAGGACAATTTTCAAGGATTCCATCTTCATTCACTGAAATACCATACTCTATAGAACTGATGATTCCTTAATTATAAAACGCACTTGTTTTATAAGTAGGACGCCGGCAGATAAAATCAGAGCTGGTGGTTGTGAGTGAAAGGCAGCATTGACTACAAGATACATATTTATAGAGAACCAGTCCTTGGATTTAGGACTCATCTTAATCCAGTATGACCTCATCTTTATTGATAGACCTGGAAAACCTGTATTTTTAAATGAGGCCATAGTCTGAGATTCGAAGAAGATATTTGGCGGTGGTGGGCTCCAAGAAGAAGGTCCCTGGGCCCAGTTTCTTCATTCATCACCTTGCAGTGAACTAACAAGCACCCGATTTTCATCCATAGAAAGAGGCTCAATACCTTGAACTGTGCTCAGATACAATGACTTCAGGGTCCTCTTATGATTGCCAAGGGACTGTCTTGGACTTTTATGGTGATTCATGGACTTTAATTCCCACGGTCCATTTTTGTTTTATTAAGCTAGCACTTTACACCTGGTTCATCACTCTCATGTTAGGTAAGGCTCCTAAACCTTGGTGGCAAAACCAGCCTCTGAGGTCTCTATTTTCATGATCAAATCTTACAAGGAGGGAGATGAGGTTCCAGAAGGCTAAGTCACTTGCCCAGTGTAGTCCCACTAGTAGATAAGGGAGCCGAGACTGGTGTTCAGGAGTGTCTGGATATTCAGCCACCCATCATAACAAACTGATATGTTCCATGTTATGGAATAACATGAATGGAAGCTCAGAAAGGAAAGCCTTGTACCAGCCTCTCTGGTGGAAAATTCTGAGCATGATCCAGGGGTGAGCCCCAGGCTCTTCTCTCTCTCTGTCATCTTACTCATGTGGTCCCGTTCTCTGGGACCACATAGTCCTTCTGAATGTACACTTTCCAAGAGGAGATAACCCCAATTTCCAATGTCCATCAAGTGTTTATGGAGATGCAGAGTGGTCACATCTGGGTCTTTCAAAAAGATAACCTCAGGTTGGCCAGTAGACCCAAACTTGATAAGTCATGAACACCACAGTATAGCACAGTGCTCATAGTTAACAATACTGTATTATTTACATGAAATTTGCTAAGAGAATAGATGTTAAATATTCCTGCATCAGAAAAAGTAATTATGTAAGTTGATGAATATGTTAATTAGCTTGATCATGATAATCATTTTGTAATGTATATCAGATCGTGTTGTATACCTTGAACAGATAAAAAATTTTATTTGCCAATTATACCTCACTAAAGCTGAAAAAAACCATCAAATCATTCATGTAGAAAGCCATGGTAGTTATGGTACTCTGATTTCAGAAATTTAAAATGATCAGAACTGTAGGTCTGGGAGTGGTGGGGCACAGATGGTGGAGCACCTGCCTAGCAAAGGCTCTGAGTTCAAGCCCAGGGCCTCCAAATACATAAATAATAACCCAAACTTGTACAAAATTGTTGATTGAGAAACCAATGCTTACCAACTGGAGATTTCTGTGCTTACTGTGCTTTCTTAAGGCTCATTAGGTTCTTCTCTGCATACTTTTCGGATTCAAAAGTGATAATAATACAAATATTATAATTAGTAATCATTACTTATCAAAGGCTATTGCATATAAAAAGAATCCATTGTATGATAATGTCATTAAGCATGGTGGAAATTGATATTTAGAAAGATTACAGAATTTGCCTAAAGTCACAAGCCATTACTGCCTGGAAACAGGGTTTGAGTTCAAGTGTGTCTGTTTTCAAAGTCCATGCTTCTTTTCTACCAGAAGCTCATGCCCTTCCCATGACAGTGTGTGTGCTGGTGTGAACCAGCTGCCCGAACAGCATCTCTGTTTCTTTCTTAATTCTGTGAGCCAAGCATGGGTGGCAGGAAAGAACTTTCCTTAACTTTACTCTTTTGCTGTGGGGACATGCTATGGTTACCATCTTGGTAATGCAAAATCCTTTCCTTGTCTTTCTGGGGGCCATGGAAGGCTGTAAGTATTTTTATGAAAGAGATGCTGCCCACTGCAGATTCTGCACAATCCTCTTACTGCTGCCACAGAGACAATCTCAGTCAATACTTGAGCATCCCACTCCTTTGCACCTCCAGGATCTCCCATTGCTGCCTGTGAAGCCTTATGGTGCTGCTTCTTGTAGAATTTGTGAACATACTCATGTCTATTCTTCCTGTCGGATTCCACATTGAAGCTGAGTATAAGAAATCCTACCAAGGGGCTAGGAAGGTGGCTCAGTGGTAGAGTGCTTGCCTTGCATGCATGAGGCCCTGGGTTTGATTCCTCAGCACCACATAAGCAGAAAAAGCTGGAAGTAGCGCTGTGGCTCAAGTGGTAAAGCGCTAGTCTAGAGCTGAAGAGCTGAGGTAAGGGACAGCGCCCAGACCCAGAGTTCAAGCCCCAAAACTGACTAACAAAAAAAAAAAAGAAATCCCACCCAAAAGGCACATGCCTTTAATCCTAGCTTCTCTGGAAACAGAGATGGATAATACCATAATTCAAGGCCAGTCTGGGTAAAATGTTAGTGAGCCCCCAATCTCAGCAGGTAAACCTGGAACCGTGGCATACAGTTGTAATCCCAGCTACACAAGAGGTATAGGTAGAGGACTGCAATCTAAGGCTGGCATGGACAAAAATACAACAACACTCTATTCTGGAAAACAACCCAAATAAAAGGAGCTGGAAGCCTAGCTGAAGTGCCAGTAATTGCAGGACCCAAAGCCCAAACCCCTGCACTGCTAAAAACAAAAATTAAAATTAAATTTAAATTAAAAAGCAAAGCTCATAGAGAGTATCTTGTTTGTGGCAAACTCATGGCCGCCACTAGATAATAATTTAGACATCAGAACACTCTTGATTGTGATTGCATATTGTCATTATAATAGCACTTCAAGTGGGCAGCCCCCACTTGTTTATGTCTCTTTTGATCTTGGAAGTATAGGGATTGACTCAGGTTACATGCTTGCTGGGGTGTCACTGTGACATTTGAGCTATGCCCTCAGTCCCTTTGTTTTTCATTTGTGTTTCTGGCAGGGTCTCATGCTTTTCTGGCCAGGTTAGAGTTGTATCACAGTTCTTCTACTACTACTTCTTCCTCTTCTTGAGTAGCTGAGATTACAGGTATGTTCCCCCACATCTCTGGGACAAGTTTAACAACACATTCAAGTATCGCTGCGGGTGCCAAAGCTACAACTAGCTCCTAGAACAGAAGGCTGGCTTTTGTCAGAGTTACTCTTGGAGCTGCTTGCTCCTTGGTTAATTAATTTGTCCTTTTTGATATTTAAATATTTCTTCTCCAGTCCTCAGGGAGGTTCCCAGAGGAGTAAAATGATTTCTTTCCAGAAAGAATTTGTTAAATGATTAAGAATGCAGAAAATCAATTTCTACATTCTGTGGTCTATATTATTAGAAAAGGTCAGAATAAATCCAACTAAACATAGTGCTCCCTTGAAGCTTATCCAGGAGGAGTACTTGCAGCAAAGCACTGTTGTATGTGAAGGTACAGAAGAGGAGATGTAGAATGAGACCCTGGCTCTCAGAAATGGCATCCTGACCTTTGTGATCATCCTGGTTTGATCATTACCTACTACCTACACTGAATTTCCTGCAAGACCTCCCTGGCCATCTCCTCACTTCACAGTCTTGGTTCTTCATCCATTTTCTTCTGTCTTAAAGTCTTTCGCTCCTATGGTCCCATATTCTCCAGGAGTTTCTGCCTTACATGGACTCTGGGATGCACTTTCTCTTCTAAATACCTCATGTGGCCCAGGCTGAGGATCTGAGGCTTCTCCCTGACACAGTGACACAGTTACAGCCTACACAAAGTAGAAGCTGTCACTAAGCTCCTGATGGCCTCAGAGCTGATCAGCAGAAGGATCCTAATGAAACCTAGTATGTTCAGATAAGGTGGTCACACTCCGAGAGGTGCTTAGAGAAGGAAGGCCTGAGCTGGTCAGTGAAAAGGGAAACCAAGGCAAAGCCAGAAAATTCAGTTTGGTGGGAGTCTTAAGAGTTTAAACAAAAGCACAGAAATGAGAAGAAACCTAAAGGTGTGTAGGAAAGTACCCAGAAAGTGAGACTAGAGAGGTATGGGAATTTGTCTGTTATCTAAGATGTGGTCTGATTCTAAAGGTCTGATCAGAGGGACCATGTCCAATGCAGTAGGAATGAGTGTCATAAGTGAGTCACCCCATATTGGGGGTTGAATGGCTAAGTCCTAGCAGGGTGTTTGGGAGGAGTAGAATGTAGAGGCCATGTTTCCCATGGGAATGGGAGTCCTGGGTGCTGAGAATGGGAGCTGATATTGGCTGTAGGTGCAGGCTGCTGAAGTCACTAATCACTGCACTGTGTTCAGTGAGGAGGGGGGAGAGGCGGACCCTAGAAGATTCACTTGAGCTCAGAAACAAGGGGCT